TCTTATCAACAAATGCATATCTTCACAGAATCACAGAATGTGTTGGATTGGAGATACCTTAAAGCTCAGCTCATCCCAACCCTGACATGCACAGGGACAGCTTCCACCAGCCCAGGTTGCTCCAAGCCCCATCCAACCTGGCCTGGAACACTCCCAGGGATGGAGCAGCCACAGCTCCTCTGGGCAACCTGTGCCAGTGCCTCAGCACCCTCACAGGGAAAAATTCCTTCACAATATCCCATCTAGCTCTGTCCTCCTTCAGCTTAAAGGCACTAGCACAGGTTGCCCAGAGAAGCAGTGGCTGCCCCATCCCTGGAAATGTTCCAGGCCAGGTTGGATGGGGCTTGGAGCAACCTGGGCTGGTGGAAGGTGTCCCTGCCCATGGCAGGGAGTGGGGCTGAATGAGCTTTAAAGTCTCTCCCAACCCAAATGGTTCCAGCATTCTAACTGGCAGCTGGGTGAGAAATCAGACTAAAGAATCACTTACATTCCTTTAAGTGATTTCCCATCTCCTCCCAAAGTAAGCAACAGCAATGTCAATATTTGAATCTCATAGGATGGAGACAAGGAAGGGTTTGTTCAGGTCAGATTTTTGTGGCTATTCAGATGAGAAACCTGCCAGCCAATCCTTGCAGCATTCCAAACCTGAGGTTCTGTTCTCACTGCAATTAGTGACACTCCAGAACACTTCAGCAATATTAGATGTTTGGAAAATGTTTTCCCTGTTACGGAGCTCAGGCACTGGAATATTGCCCAGGGAGGTGGTGAAGTCACCATCCCTGGAGGTGTTTAAGAGGTGTCTGGATGTGGCACTGGAGGATATGGTTTAGGGTTCAGGGGTTACAGCAGTGACAGGTTAATGGTTGGACTTGATCACCTTAGAGGTCTCCTCCAACCTTGATGATTCTGTGGTTCTGTGCATATTCCTAAAGCAATGGTAGCCTACACTGGTGCTTCTCTTACCAGAGACCTGTTGCCCATGGCATCATGCAGGCAAGGCATGTCCACATTGCCACTTATCCTGGCCATCATGCGCAGCAGGAGCTGCAGCCTCCTGCGCTTTGGTGGTGGCAGCAGCAAGCAGCAGATCTGCAGAGCTTCCACTGCAATTCTCTCCAAGTGAGGCTGGAGGAGATCTGGAAGGGAGTTGCAAACAGCTGGAATTGAGATTTGAACCAACTTGCAGCATGGTTTCATCTCAGTACGAGAAATCTCTTCTCTTTCCAATATGATTATCAATGTTTCAGAGACAATAAATAATGGCCTATTCTTGTGTGGTCATCTTCAACTTGCTTTGCTAGGATAAACTCTTGGGGCATTTAAGACCATAATACAATTAAGGAATGACCCTGATGTTATTCTCAGAAAATAATGCTTTAAAGACCAGAAAAACCATCTTCTTCAGCAGGCAGGTCACACATTCCCTGTCTCACTCAGTGTCTGGGACAGGACCACTCCACACTTACCTGGACACAAAAATACTGACACATCCAGTTCATACTCCAAAGTTACTACACACTATTTGTTAGCAGAGCTGCACCAACTTAACCAATTCAGCACCCAGATGTTTCTAAACCCCCTCAGTTCCATGTTATAGGCCTATCACCAACCCTAGCAGCAGTGCCAGAGAAGGAGGATGCAGAGGTTAGTCAGGCACACCACAGGGTAGTACAACATGCTGCAGGAAACCAGCTTACTTTGCGTGCCAGGCAGCACACAGGGGGAGGGGGTGGGAGAGCATTCTGAGAGTGCTGTGGTGCTCCTGCAGAGTCTCTTGCTGATGGTGAGATCAGAACCCTCAGGCCTGATGTCCACTGAAGCAGCCACCCCAAAGGGATTTGGTTTTCCTTGCTGAGCCCTGGGCTTTACTGTGATTTCAGCAACTGGTGTGTTCATGCTGGTGCAGCTCCTGGAGTTTCTCTTGCCCAGATAGCTCAGGGATCGGCACATTTGCTTCAATCCATGACTGCCATCCAACATGTCTCCATCTTGGAGAGCTGAAGTAGACACTCTCTTGGTGCCATGGCTTCGGTTTTGGCAGGTGTTCTCACAGCCCAACTCCAACACAGAGTTAACCTCACGCTCACACAGCAGTGACTGTTTGCCATTTCTCATGTTGGTGTTCACATCACTTTTCCAGAGGGACTCAGATCCTTCTTTATCACACACACTTGAAGTAGTAGCATCAATTCTTTCCAAGGAGTAACACCTTGTCCTAAATGCTCCAGGTGGGTCTTGTTCATTCCTGAAGCCTGAAAGGTTCTGGCAGCTTCCTCCTACGAAAGTCAAAGCACTACCTCGCTGACATGTCAGTCTGCATTGCTGCCACTTCCTTGCACGTTGGCTTTGGATCTTTGGCTCTTCCAAAGAAGAGCTCCTGGAAGCATCATCCTTCTCTTTTTTAGTAGGCTCTTTGCAGAGCAGGCTTAGGAGAAGACACTCAGTTGATTTGAAAGAGTACAAGTGCAGAGTTTTTGAAGGCTGTGATTCACATTTCTCCTCCTGGCCAGAAGGTTTTCTTCTGCTCAGATCTGGAATTGTGATGTAGCCACAGAGAACTATCAGAAAATGAAATAGAAGTTAAGATGCAAGCGGTATGAAAATGAACCGGCTCAGAAGGAGAGTTGCTGCCTGAGCACAGAAGGCAACAAATGTAAGAGATTAATTTCCAGTTGACTGTTAGTAAAACCTAAGAAGAGTTTAGCTCAGTCCAAAAGCAATTTAATGATATCATGGCAACCAACATGCAAGAACAAAGACAGGGAACACACTCAAGGGAGGAACAGACAGAACGAGCACATACTCTTAGGTTATTGTTACTGAACATTTAGAATGTAAGCTCAGACAGCAGTTTAAATAGGAAACCATGAGGCAGAACTGCTTTGCAATTAATCGTGTCACACAGAATGAGCAGTGATGATCCTCCTCACATTGGAGCTGCCACACACATCAGGGGCTAAGTTCTGCTTTGAATTAGGTTTGATTCCCAGCTGCTAAAATCTTAAAGCTTCGCTGATTACCCCCTAACTTCATACATACCTAGAACATTTACAAAGAGTTCATAGTATTCAAAAGTAAGTAATGGCTCAGGGAGGCTGAGAAAGTAATCAGCAACTGTTCTGAACACGTCTCGCTCAAACCCACTGTAAGTTGGTTGGCTCAGGTCGTTGTTTCTGGGCCCTGAAAAAGGTGAAGAAGTAAAATTCACCAAAAAAAGTCACAATTCCTTTATAAAAGACATTTTTTAAAAATTAACTTAAGTTTATTCTTGTCTCACAAGGAAAGAATCATGTCAACAACACACAAATGCTGTGTATAGTAGTGTTTGTAAGCAAAAACAGTGTCAAATATTCTTGGCAGCCACAAGAGTTGTGCTCAGTTTCAATGATCTGTTCCATACCAAGGAAATAGATAAATAAATCAATCATATATGGTCTTTATAGGTTCCCCAGCAAAATAATAAAAGTAATCCCAGTTCTCCCACAGGGAGTTCTGGCTTCTAGAGCAAGAGGAAACTCATGCTGTCATCAGCACATAGAGGAAGAGCTCATTATCTCTGATTTCATTTGAGGCACTCACAAACTAATTAATAGCTGATCGTTAGGAAAACCTAAGAAAAGGTTTTGATCTCCCCGGTTTAATAGGAAATGTAGGAAACCTTTTGGTCCAGTGTCTGGAAAAGGAAAGTCCTTTTTACTCCCGACAAACCACATTAGAAGAAATCCCACACAGGTTTCACCCATTTTCCAAACTGAAACATCACAGTTGATGTTGACACACAAATATATTTTACTTTCAACTTTCACAATAGGTTTCTGGAACTCTGCAGGGACTTACAGTAAGCAAGGCACTTCATAGCTGACAGCACCCAGTGAGGGAGGTCTTCTGCAACACAAACCAACAAGGATGTTATTTACACAGAGGCCCAAAGACTTAATAAGTGATACAAATAGTGGCACACACATATTAAATGATCCCTCAGGCACAAAAGATCAGAATTAAAACTCATTTTAAATATGGCTACACATGTCAGTTCGACAGGGAATGGCTTTAAGCTGAAGGAGGGTAGGGTTAGACGGGATATTGTGGAGGAATTGTTCCCTGTGAGGGTGCTGAGGCACTGACACAGGTTGTCCAGAGCAGCTGGGGCTGCTCCATCCCTGGGAGTGTTCCAGGCCAGGTTGGATGGGGCTTGGAGCAACCTGGGCTGGTGGGAGGTGTCCCTGCCCATGGCAGGGGCTGGAATGAGATGAGCTTTATGGGCCATCCCAACCCAAACCAGTCTGGGAATCTGTTATTCTATGAAGAGTGAATGCAATGCACCTACAAACCTTCTAGACAGATACACTGAATCCCACTGTGTTGGGGAAGAAAGTGTAGCAGATAGACTACGAAATATATTAATTATTAATTAGCATTCTAATTACTCCATCGAGAATCTTCAAGCAAACCAGGAAGACCATCTCACCTGACTTGTCCTGCAGAATGACTACCCCATGCTTGCTGGTGTTGGTCATGTTGTACATGACATAGCCAGGAACTATCTGTGCTGGCTGCAGCACTTCCTCCAACGATGGGAGGCCCAAGATGGTTTGCAGACTGTGGGGGTAAGAGAGCAGATGTTGTCTAAAGGGTTTGCTAGTCATGAAGGGAAACAAGTTCTTTCCATTATCTATTCCAAACCAGTTACTTGCTAAGCTAGTTTGCGGTTTAATAAACTCTCACTTCCAGGAGGACAATTTGAGGACACTTCTTCCTGGGACAAACAACAACAATCAAGAAGGAAGAGCATCTGTGGTACTTGAAATATACCTCAGCAACAGCAAATAATTGATCGATTTGTCAAAAGCAGCAATCCCATGTCCATAAATACATTAGGAACTCAATAGTCAGTAAAAATACCCAGCTTTAAAGCTTGATTGGGCCATTCTATGCCCAAAACACTGATAGGAGAAGGTGTTTTGTATCCTTTACCACTTACTGTATTAGAATGATGTTTCTCCATGTTTCTTGCACATATTCCTGGCTGATCTCCTTTCTTTGCACTGTGCCTTCCTTGTTTCCTTCTATTAGAGCAGGTTTAGTCTTGTCTAAGCTTTTCTGAAAATGAGTGGATTATACAGTCAGAGAAATAAGCCTCTTAAGGTAACTTGGAATGAGAAGTAAAATTTGGAATGAGATGTATAGGACATTCTGTGGAACATGAAATTACACATGATGCAGGGAATAACCTTAAAAGCCTTAGCACTGAAATGTAAGCACAGTCAACTGAGAAAGCATGAAGAGAAAAAGACCTGATCAAACCCCAAATCAGCAATTTAAAAGGTAGAAACATCCCAAATCCAAATGTATTAGTGAATGAATTATCCTCCTTTAGGACTGGAATCTAAATTAAGGACTTGTGCCATACACACACACAAATCTCAAATGAATAAAGGGCCAAACACACACTCTTCCAATCTTTTCCAAAAAGCGACCAGTTAAATAATCTGTCTTTTATTTGACCCCAAAAAACATACCAAGTTTCAATATGTACATATTGTGCAGATCATTACCTCTCAGCCCTCACAGTACTTTAAAATCCCATAGCAGGGAAAATTCTGCACTGAGACAACACACAGAACAACCAAAACCCCCCAAAAAGCCTCCCCATATCAATTTATTTCTGAATATTCCTTCACTTCTTAACTCCCAAATGATTTGTCAAGCTAGGAAGGAAGATGCCACAACACAACGGTCACTAAAATGTCATTACTTGTAGCTTTATATTTTAAGGAATAAAGACAACATGTGACAAGTGCAATTATGTCAGAACCAGAAGTTTCTACCAGAGGCTGCAGGAAGTCCTGGTTTTTCTTCTTGGATAAATGGGGCAGTTTCAAGAGTTTTTCTTTGTCTCCAGAGAAGTTTTCCAAGTTCTCTTTGGGAGGGCTTGGTAGAGGTTTGATTGGAGATGTTGGAGGGAATCTGTAATGGACAGGAAAAATCAGTTAAACACATTCAGAATAGACTAGAATCAAGTGATTTAACCACAGCAACACCCTGTGATTCCATACCACTGTGACTCCATAAGCGTCTGAACAGATTCAGGAAAACAAGAAGAAAAACACTGGGGTTTTTTCTCTTTATCATACAATAAATTAGCTTTGGGCTATTTTTCTTGCTGCCAGTCAAGCTGAAGGTATTTACACAGCACTGAGCTCAGAGTCTGAGGAGTGAGGGCCACGAACACCTTTCACTTCAGAGCTCTTTGGCTCTGTTTCCATTTAGACTTGCTGTAAAAGGTCTAAGAGGAATAAACACAGCAGGGAGCTACTACCAACCACTCCTTGGCTCCCCTCCAAAGCACTGGAGTACAGCTTGTATTCCAATGAAAAGCTTGGACAGACAAAAAAATGGAAACAGCACACAGGGTGGATGGTCTGTCCTGTGAGTCAGAGCAAAAGAAAACACTGAGTGCAGTAAAATGATAATACTTCATTTTTGGCCCAAGTGCTCAGCCCAAAGCATGATATTTTTACATCAACAGCTCAACCTGAAGAGCTGTTAACTGGTTTGCACCTCAGTACCTGTACAGAGCACCATTGTCCTCCAAGGTTTCAGCTCCCCATCTCCCCCTGATGTCCTCAATGACATGGTTCTTGAGGAACTTCCTCAGCAACTGCACAGTTTGCTGTCTGGTCACATCAGGACCGAAGCTGCTGTTATTCCTCAGCACTTCATGGAGCCAATCCACAGCTTCTGAGGCAGTGAAGCAGCTCCCATGTTTCTTGAAGTGTTGCCTGTGCTTCCTTAGGGGCATTCATGCTCGGAAGTACTTGGTAATCTCATTCCACTGCATGGAAAGAAACCAGCAAAGATCAGAACATTAAAGGTTGAAACTGATCACTGTAAGTATCAATTAAAACAATGGGATATTAAGAAGGACATAAATGAAATCACAGCATTGATGCTAACAGATGTTGGTAGTTAGAGTAAATAATGCAGAAGTGTTCAGATGGAAAACTTAAAGTTCAGGTTAAAAGGGTTTTTTGCAATGAGGGTGGTAAAACACCAGAACAACTTGTCCACAGAGGTTACAGATGTCATCCCTGAAAGTGCTCCAGGCGAGGCTGGATGGGGCTTGGAGCAACCTGGGCTAGTGGAAGGTGTCCCTGGTCATGGCAGGGGGTGGAACAGTTGATCCTTAAGTTCCCTCCCAACCCAAACCAGTCTGGGATTCCATGAGAAAACAAACATTTCATGTAGGCTTTTCTCTCATTCTTCCATAACTGACAACAAGGTCAGAGTTTCACAAACATAGTAAATTTCATTGACATCCACTCAGGTTCCTGAGGCTCTGTCAAACCACATCTTCACCTCTGGAGCAGTTCTGACATGAGGTGGCTCCAGCTGGCACAGCACATAAACACTATGTTAAACTCTATTCCTTTTCCTCACAAGGAATGACATGACACACTACAGCTGTTAGAGCTTCTCTAAGCTGTCACACATGTCTCAATGGGCACCGCCATCACCACAGGCTCTTCCTGGGGCAGAGAGTCCCAGGGCACCCACATGTTGTGACAGTGAGCACAGAGCTGGACGTCCCAAAGCACCCACATGTCATGACAGCAGGCACAGGGCAGGGGAGCCATGGGCACCCATATGTCATGACACTAGGCACGGGGACAGTGTGGGTGCCCTAGGATACATTATGACAGTGAGCACTGGGCAGGGAGTGTCCTGGGGCACCCACATCTTGTGACAGCAGGCATGGGGTAGGGGTCCCAGGGCACCCAGATATCATGACAGAGGGCACAAGGAGGGTGTGGGTGCCTTGGAACATGTGGTAACAGCAGGCACAGGGAGGGGGGTGCCAGGGCACTCACATGTCATGGCAGTGGGCACAGGGCAGGGGGTCCCAGGGCATCCACATATCATGACAGCAGTCACAGGGTGGGTGAGCCCTAGAGCATCCACATACCACGACAGCAGGCACGGAGAGAGTGTGGGTGCCCTGGGACATATCGTGACAGTGAGCATTGGGTAGGGAGCACCCCAGGGCACCCACACGTGTGACAGCAGCTATGTGGGGTGGGGGGTTCCAGGGCACCCACATGTCCTGATAGTGGACAAAGGGCAGGGAGTCTCCCAGGGCACTCACACGCTGTGACAGAGGGCAAAGGGCGTGGGACCCCTGGGCATCCACATACCATGACAGCAGGCACAGCAGACACAGGGTGGGGGGGCCTCAGAGCACCCACACTGTGACAGCAGGGACGGGAAGGGGATAGGTGCCCTGGGACATGTCATGACAGGGGGCAAAGGGCAGTAACTACACCGAAGCACTCA